TAGCCCTATGCTGCTCGGCTTCTGTGCGCCAAGTCTAACCGTCTCATGGAGTGCCAATGAAGCTCGGCAAGAGACGTTCCCTAACTTTGAACTTGGGCGGATTTAACGCCTTGTATTTTCAGCGAGTTAAACGCTTGATTGAATTGTTTGATAGCAATTGATTTTATTCAATTCTTACCTGGCCAGCGACGAACGCCGTCTTTCCGTACATGCGTAGAAGACATATCATAAGATGACCCTCTAAATTTTCTCCCCTGTAAACTTTGCTCTAATAAGCCATTACCAAGCTGACCTGCTGTTGCCATTTATATAAGATTCTATACTAAAAAGAGCATCAGCGAAATCATTGCGAAACTGACCAAGATTTAGTAGTTCACTATTTGGCATGCCCTTTGCAATGAAGTTGTTTTTTACAAGTGTCCACAAAATTTATTACAGCAAGATTCAATAGGTGATAGAATACTCAAAGGTGGCATTTGCGACTTTTGCCTCTTACACGATAGCGGCTTAAGTAGCTCTCCACTGAGTCTATTCCTCTCAAGTGATTATTACACTCTTTCACAATTTTTTTGGGACAAAAGATATCAATTTTTTGCTTTAATCGCACATCACGTCGACAGATATTGTCTGCATACTGCGAGTCAATAATGTAACAAACTTGTTGTCTTTGCGTACCGTGGCCAAAAACTCCAAAAACACCATCATTGTGAGAAATCCCTTCCCCGTAAGTTCTCCTAGCAATCGTCGTCTTCATTAGATACTTCTTGTCTGCGAGTCTACAATTAGGCGCTCTATTCTGTTGTACCATTCCGACACAATGGATCCCTTGTTCCAATAAATAGTGTCGCCAAAGCAAAGACGTGTAAAAATTATCGAACCACATTATACGATTCCTCATATCACTTTCACTAATCGTGAAACACAAGAATTTTATTGATTGCCAAATCTGGCTCATCTGCTAGTCCATATCTTTTGTCTTCTTGTCCGAAGTCAAGTTCGAAACGATAGACGTATCCCATGAGACTACATAAGACAAATAGCTTGCAGCCCAAGTTGAGAGGTTTATTTGGCAGATATTGTCTTAGATAATGACCTACTTCTGTTGAACATATTTCTTCGCCTATTGATGGGCGTTGGTCTATGGGAATGTGTCATTGAGGGGGTCTTTTTCTGATCTGTTCTGATGATTTGTCGGAAGATTGTCGAATAATATTGTTACGGAAATGTCAAACCTACTTTCATTTCAACTAATTGATTATCCCAGAAAATAGATTTCCGAGAAAAGTTAAAACCCTAATGCAAATTCATGGCATGTCAAACTGATGTAATTCTACACCAGAAAAAAGCTACGTTTTTCTTGCATAATTTTATCGATATACGCATAAATTTAAATATTATCCGTTAGTCTTATCTTGTTTCTACCCGACAATAATTTTTTTATGCAAATAATCGTAACTCGAAACATCCAGCGAAACTAACCATTGCTCAGATAGAAGATCAACAATGAAAATAGTCGCAGATAAAGAAATAAACTATGACAGATTGTAGCTGTACTCGGAAACGATATAATATAGGTTTAGTAAAATTAAAATTAAGAAAAGTGAAGAGAAGCAAGTTTCTACATAAAGAGATAGAAAGTTTTAAACATACGATGTAGATTTATTAACTATGCGTTTAAGGGTTAATTGTTTTCTAAATAAAGTGTTGCTGTAGGAAGTGGTCTAAAAGTTGATTCGATCCGAACCATTTTTAATAGCGTTCATCAATGGGCCAATACACGTCAGTGTATCAAATTTCCTCAAAATATGTAAAATATTGTGCCCTGTACGTTGAACACAAGAAAACAAGGCGGACAGACAAGCTTACTGCTTTCCAATGGATCGATATAATGAAAGGTAGGCTTTGCGTTGCGTACATCCACACAGACAATATACCTTTCTAATACAATTGGTATAGGGTATAAATAAAACCATTATGGTGTTTACTGTAGGATATATTTAACGTTTTTATATTTTATTTCTCTATTCATCTTTGTTTTCTCTTTATTTAGCTTTAAATCAATTTATTTCAAATATCTTCAGAATTTCATTTTACGACAGAGAAGAAGACCAAAAAAACTTGAAACCAAGTTTTAACATTACTCTGGTCATAAACGCGATCGGAATTGACGAACAAACTGATATCGTATAATCGATGCCTTCCAAATTCTCAAGATTAAAATGATATACATTTTTTAACAGATCTTATGTGCATTTCTATGCCGTTCTAATATATCACTAACTTGATTTTTTATACCCTACACGATCTGTGGTACAATGTGCATTAAGATAGTACGGACGTATGTAACGCACAGAAGGGCTTAAAACGAACCCAGCTTTTATTATACCGTTCGATTCAGGATCGTAATCTGAATTTATGTAAACCTGTCTGTCATCTTTCGGTCTGATATCTGTTCAAGTAGATTTGCGTTCAAGCTATAGGTTGCAGTCCTGGAGATATTGTGATGAAATTTAGTACAGTAACGTGTTGTGATCCAAGAATGAACGCTATCAAATATAGTTCGGATCGGACCACTTTTTTGACCGCTCTCCCTATAAGATCATAACCTGAAAAAAATGTAATTTTCAAAATTACTCAGCAGAAGTGGCTAAGTAGTAGTATTTCGACATTCTAAACTGATGTGAAATCTTTGGACCGGATGGAGTAATTTTCGAAACCCCTCTCATATAATGAAAAATAAAGTTCATGCGACAAAAAAACATAATTTTCAATGCGTTATGATGTGAATTATATATCATTATAGTAATTTAACATTTAAAAAATTATCCGTACCAAAATTGGCCCATCTCGACCTATTTTTTGAATCCTATTGCTATAAGAATTTTCACAAAAATTGATCTTTTGTAAAGGACAAAAGTCTACATTTTAATATGTTTTAATTTCATACAAAAATGAAGTCTACAAAATTTGGACTATCTTGCCCTATGTAGGGCTTAAACTTATACCACTTTAGATTGTGTTTTGGGTCCGCGTTCCCATAAATACGCACATGAAAAATACTCTTTTATATATAAAGTATAATAAGATATAATTGTTGTGGTTTATGACAAAAATAAGAATTGTGTTAGACGATGCGGTGTAGGTTATTTAATGGTCGGCCTAGCGTTACTATAATGTTTTAAATTGTTTTTTTTTTTGTTGGTGGTATGTTTTTGTCTTTGAGAGAAAACGAGTAAAAGTTTTAAAGTGAAACTAATTTCCTAGCATCTAGTCATAGTTTTTTTTTTTTTTTTTTTTGTAGTTAAAACCTGTGCAAAAGTGAGGTAAAAGCAAAAAATAAAAAAAAATTATAAAAAAAATTCTATTGTGAAACCACAAGAGAACCATTTCTGCGGTTTTAATTGTCTCTATTGAACAATTTTCGTTAACACCCTGCTTGCATTTGTTTGCAGCCAGCTAGGAGGAAATATCATTTCGATCTCGTTTCCATATAACACATAAAAAACATATAAATAAAAAAAAAAGAAGCTCTTTGCTTTGAGCTCAAAGCATACAAAACTTGATGAAAAATTGTCACCTAAAACTACTTTCCGATAAATGAAAACGTGCGGTATAGGACAATAACTGAAGAAGCCATGTAATCACAAACTTAGATACCCCTTACATAGTGTAAACAGATGAGAATCTCTTCATGTTCTTCTTTAACCGTTGCTTAAGAAATTTGGTTAATTTTGACTTGTTGCCTTCTTGCCGTGTAAAAGTGATCGTAAGTCCTTTAACTTGTTTTTGATTTGGAAGTCTACAGAACCGAGTTTAAATCGTTACTTGAATTTTGACAACAATGATATTGGCAATATATTTTATATTGATCAACTGATGGGTCACAACTTGGGTATTATTCTGGGTCTACTTTGGGTATTATTTTTTTTATATATATTTTTGCTATAAACCGTATAACAAATTTAGCATATCTCTCTATATGGAGAGTGGAGAAAAAAACACGATAGAAACGTCAGTTATTTGGATGCGTGTGACGGCTTATTCCTGCATTGATGAATGCTGAGTTAATTGATTTTTAAGAATTTCTAACACAGTTTTACGAAAAATCTACGCAATTGCCAGAGCATAGAAAAAAATTTTCATGGATTTTTGTTGTTTTTCTTTTTTTCTCTTTTTCAATTTATATGATAAAAGCCATTGCATTCAAGCTGGTAACGTATGCTGTGAGGTCACATGCTTGTAAGCATACGTGGTTATTACAAGCAATAAAAAACAAGTAAAAATATTTTAATACGGCAAAGCCAGCTATTATCGCCTCTATATCAAACATAATTCTTCATTTACTTTCGTAATAAAGCAGCAAAAACTGTATCTTGTTTCGATGTAAAAAAATTCTTTTCATGGCCTTGACTATATGAGACGATGAACTTATTTGTCAATATTAATTTTCCTTTCTCATAAACTCCTAACAGGTAAATTTCATTGTTGCCTAACATAAGTGTAAACTTTTATATGACTCGGAATTTAGCAAACTGGCCAACGTAATTCAAATTTAACGAGCGATTGTCACCACGAAATATTCAAAACTAAACCTTTGTGGTCATATAAGAGCTTACTATTCACAAGATATGGGATAAGAGTTCATAAATTCAACCAATCCGATCCAATTTTTTATGTTACGCCAAAGTATTAATACTTAATTATTTCTGTCCGAAAATTTTGCAAAATACAAACTATTTCCATATAACGGCTTTACCGAAATAAACCTTTATATAGATCTGTTCCGATTTAATTTCAATAGGGTTCGTTCTTGAACCAAACCTCGTCTATCAGTCTATCAAATTTTTACAAATACCTCAAAAATTTGCGACCTGCAGGTTTTATGCGGATGAAGAGCCGAGAAGATAAGAATAGCGAATGCTAGACTTAACTTTGATCGTAGTTATAATATGTGCTTAAGTGTTTATTCGGTAAATGCACAACACTTAAGGATTGGATGCACACCCACTAGGCTGTGGCCGTTTCTCTTTCCTCACTTCTTTCTGACCGTCACGGTATTAAATAAACAGGGGAGGTCGCCTGAGTGTTTGGTCATACAATTAAAAAAAAAAAAAACAGTTCAACGTGCATGGACAAACGTCAGAAAGACAGACGGACAGGCAAATAAACAAGTTTAAATCTATTTAGTAAATAATTGTGAATCAATCGGCATAAGAAAAAGTGATGTTACCGGAAATCCGTCTGGTTGTTACATACATCTCCATAAAATTAACATAGCCTATATAATAATTGGTTTAAGTTGTAG